ATATATATGTGTGTGTTAAAGCATATATGTAGTGTGTAGCTGTAGCTGTAGACAAGGACTCATTCTACTTCTTCCTCGTCTCCTTTCCAGCAAGGCGTAACTCTATCATGAGCACTCTTGGCCCACGTGCTCCAACCACCAACAACAACAACAACATAGGTAAGACACTGTCACATCAGCTCCCATTTCCTATGCTGCGCTCCATGTGTACTCATTATATTCTCGTCCTCTCCGTAGCCTCGTGTGGCCAGCGTTTGGATAACTCCCTGAATCGCCCTTCATTCCGTATTTTTGGGGGAAGACAGAGCGACATCAAAGATCAGCCGTGGCAGGCAGCCATCAACGTTTTCCACGCCCGACGCAAGATGCACTTCCACCGATGTGGAGGAGTCCTCATCGACTCCTGCTGGGTCCTCTCCGCTGCTCACTGCTTTGAGGCGAAGTAGGTGGAGACTCTGTCACTTCAGTCGCACGGACAATTACTATTTAAAAGCTCTGCCATCGTCTCATAAGCTCTCCTGTGTCTGTGATTTTCTCAGAGATAAAGCTGAAAAACTGGAAGTGATTTTGGGAAGGACCTTCAGAAAAGAGAACTCCAGCAGTGAGCAGATCTTCAAGGTGGAGAAATATTGGATGCATGAGAAATTTGACAACGAATCATTCGACAATGACATTGGTGAGTGAAGGACTCGTATTGTCTTGTCACGTGACCCCATGATGGCTGAAGTTAACTGTCTAAGGCAGGGGTGTCAAACATATGGCATGCAGGCCAAAACTGGCCCACTAGGGTGTTTGATATGGCCCCCTTGATGAATTTTGAAAATAAAAAAAAAAAACAACAAAAAAAAAAACAAATACTTCATGTTTGAGATATTTTGCTCAAATTATATTTATTAACTATGAATAAATATGAGTATATACGTATCTAATATACTTGTACTTCACATGAAAACAAAATGGGAAAACATGGTTATTTACAGTTAATTATGTTATGATTATACTGGTCCGGCCAACTTGACATCTAATTAGGTTGTATGCGGCCCCTGAACCCAAATTTGTTTGGCGTAACACAGCCCTCGTCTAATGACAGCTGGAACTGGCTGCAGCTGTCCCCTACAGTCCTGTGAGGAAATAGGCAGTAGAAGATGGATAGATGTCATGTTTGATGATGCTGCTGAAGCTTAAGCACTGGCTTGTAAAAAAAAAATCAAACTATTCCTGTTCACTGTTTACTTGCAGCTCTATTGAAGCTGAAGACGGACATCGGCATCTGTGCCATAAATTCTCCAGAGGTTTTTCCAGTCTGCCTCCCTAAGCCCGACCTGAAGCTGCCCAGCTGGACTCAGTGTGAGATCTCAGGATATGGAAGAGAAAGAGAATGTAAGTCATTCTTACGTTAGAGCTTTCAATAGATCTTAGCTGACCAGCAGGGGGCAGTATGATCAAGCTTTTCCACAAAGCTTGAATCTCTCCGTGTTCTAACATCTACTCAGTGCAGAATGGATGATACCTGAAGGCTAAATCTGAACTTTAATTCTCACTCCACAGTTTCTGCAGAATATTCCGAGCGCGTGAAGAGAGGTTACGTGCGACTTTGGCCTAACGAGCGATGTGTTCCTGGTGTGCTGTCAGGACGCCTGGTCACGTCCAACATGCTGTGTGCAGGTGACACTCGAGGCCTCGACGACGCCTGCAAAGTAAGAACGGCCGAACTCCACCTGATCATGGGATTTTGGCAAAGAAATAATATTCTAATTCTCTAATATAAATTTGATTTTTTTTCTGTAGGGAGACTCTGGTGGTCCTCTTGTCTGCCAACACAACAACAGTATGACTCTGATGGGTGTGATCAGCTGGGGCGATGGGTGCGGGCAGAGGGACAAACCCGGTGTGTACACCCGTGTCACCAACTACATTAGCTGGATCAATGAGAAAATGAAGGCCAGCCCAGTCTAGAGTGAGACCGACTGTAGAGTCGCGTTGTTGGACGACTGTTACCATTTACAGAATGGTTTAAACAGCAGAAAGAGAAACAATTGTCTCTGTGCACAGGACACTCTCGACTATGGTTTGTGTGACGGGGGTTTTCAACCGGCATCTTCTGTTCAGATCAGAGTTTGCCTTTGTTGTTTTGTGCATCTTTTCTATTTTTAATTTTTTTATACACGATCCAAAGCACAGATGTAAACTCTGGCCTGGCTGTGTCACTGTCATACTGTCTTTCTTAGTCTTCAGTGTTTTTGTTACACTGCCACCTTCAGGAGACTGTGAGTTAACGATAAGCAATAAGAGCATTTTTCCTCAGTCCCTGCTGACTGGATCTGTGCCGCAGTAGAAAAAGTCAGATCTGACATTAGCAGCGTTGACTGTTAACACAAGCATTCATTTGCACAGTACATAATAGTCATCAAAGAATGTTGATTTTTTTATTACTTTCATACAGATCATTCATCAATGAATTGTTTTTTTTTTCTATCAGATGATTTCTTTATAATCAGTCTCACTGCATTTGTCTAATGTGAGGTCAGTGTGAGGTTTCTAGCCAAGTGAATCTGCTGGTTCAGATTCTGTTCACCTTTGTTGTATTGTCTGTGTGATGCCGTTAGTGCCTGGGGGACATATGTGGACACAGTTTAACATTTCAGAGGAGAAACTCACTCCTGCTTTACAGCAGGAAGGTCACTGGTTCGATCCCAGGTGTTAACTGATGGTGTTTTACCTCCCAAGTATTCCACTTCTTCCCAGAGTCTGAAAACTACATTATTTAGAACATTGTTTCCCAAAGACTGGGTCATGAACCTCAGGTGGGTCGCAAGAGATTTTTTCTCTCGCATCATGTTTTACCAATAATGTCTATTGACTTGGGTCACGAAGGTTTGTGACTTTTAAAATATGGGTCCCCAGAAAAAAAGTTTTGGAAACACAGATTTAGACGCTCTCTATCTGGCCCTTAGTAAGACTTTGGGTGTCAGTGGTTGTTTGTCTCTACATGTGGGCCGTGGGACTGGAGAGCCGTTTAGTGTGAACTCCACCTTGAACCCCTTAACTCTTAACTCAACCGGCTCTTCCTCTCCTCCAACAAAAAACCCATTTGGTCCTGCTGACAGCACTTCTCCACCGGAGCACCTGAGATGAGCCCACGACAAATAAATAAATAAATATATATATGTATATGTATATATATACATATATATGTCTGTATAAATATATATAACATACATAGGGGTCTGTAAATTGTCTGATGTTGATTTTATATTAAAACGATAACGAACTGTTTTCTGTTCTCCATGAATTTGCTTACTGACTGCAAACCAAACAAAAACTTCTGTGAGGGAACCTTAAGAGAACCTGCGTTTTTTTACATGTTTTGTGCAAAGTTAATATTTATATCTATTTCATATTGTTGTTGTGTTTGTACACTGTTAACTGTAGGATAGCTTATTTATTGTCATGATAACCACATTTTATTAACGTGAAATAAATATCTTTTGGAATAAGTTTCTTCAGACTTTTTGATTTCGTTACATTAGCGATAATAAACGATTACTTGTTACGAAACTTTACAAATATCCAAGATCATATATATATATATATATGTATATATACATATATATACATATATACATATATATATATATATATATATATATATATATATATAAATGTATTTATATATATATGAACAAAAAATATATATATTTGAAAAGAATTTAATCAAGTATGTCATTGGTTCTCCAATTATGGTTTGTGGGCCACTGGTGGCGATTGGGCTCCCTCAAGTGGTAGAGTCTGAATTCCATAAGGGTAAAGAGAGCTACTGAGTTTGTGTTTTGTGTGTATCATTACATTTCAACACTCTGGATTGATAACTAAAAAAAAC